GACTATTCTGCCTCCTGTAGGTGCTGAATGGAAGAAGCTAATGAGAAAAAGAGTGATTGTGACAAGCAATTATGTCACCTATGTGAACAGCTTAATTTTCTAAATTAGCCACTTTGATAATTATGACATCTCATTTGTCTTTTAATTCCATGAGCCCTGGAGTTTACCTTTGATTTTTTCCAATCAGATAAGAGGCTTTGATAAGCCAAGGGTCTATTATGTGTCTGCAAAATTCAGATTTCAGGCTGATTGGCCTTGCTGTTTGCTTGAGCCGGAGCAAATGTCTCTCTCCACAAGAGCTCTCCAAGCCTTGCTGTCCTTGTTTCTATTTGCAGTAGTGATGGAAGAATGGTGGTGGGGAGGGGGGGTGCCAAGCAAATTAATAGTGTCAACAGGACTGAAGAGAAAAGTATTCATCGACTTCAGAGGAAAGGGAAACTGTATCTTGAGCACATTAAAAAATCACTTTAGCAGTATCCACTTTGCATACATGACCCCAAATTACCAAGCTAATCACAAATTATCCTGACGTACTCACTGATGTACTTTTAAGATCTTCAGAGACTATGTATTCTTGTTTTTATTGTATTGACTTACAATAAAAGAGCTGAAAAGGGGGATGCTTACAAAAGAGCCACGGCCTGTATATAGCTAGGGGTGTTAGAGAGACAGAGCACTTGAAAGAGGAATCCCAATGCCCAACTGCATTTCTGGAGCTGAGTACATAGGAAATAAAGAAGAGTCCTGATTTAATCAATTTGCAGGAACTTCAGCAATCTCCTGGACCCTGTGACCTCTCTTACTTGAATGTGTGTGTACTTGGCAGAGGATTCCAGGAAGTACCAAATCAGATGAGAGAGTAAATAATTTACATCATGACAAGAATATGTTCCTATGTCCTTCAGAGACAAGGGTCTAAGATGAGTGCTCAGATCAGAGTGCTGTATCTCAAACACTTAGAGAACTCAGGAAAATTGTTTTACCCCCTTATATTAAGGCAGGGTCATGTATAGTTTGTGCTAATAGGCAGGCTTAAGGAATCAAGAGATGGCTTGACTACTGATACACATACACACATACACAGTCATACACATGCACGTATATATATTCCTATATCCCACCAGGGCTTAGCCTGACACCATCGATGAGTGGGTGACACTTCTACTGTCCACATATTCTGAAGGCTGTTTGTTATCCATCCTCTTCCTTTCCTATTCAGGGTCGCCCTTCTGGCTTATTTTAATATGATCTCACCCAGAAAAAGAAAGTTTGCTTGCATATTCCTGGGCCTCCCATATCTTAGAATAAATATGAATTGGCTTAAACAGTGATTGCCAAACTTGAGTGATCAGATATACGACCCCCCACCCCAAAAGAAACCCAGGCATAATTAGCCTTAACTGGGGCTTCTTGTGAATCTCAGCAGTTGTCTGGAATCTTTCTGAGTCTTTGGACTGTGCCTAGATATTCTTGGTTTATGCAGATCTCTGCACCTGTGACTACTCAGAATATAGGAAGTGTCATGGTGTTTAAATCTGTAGCAATACATGGAAGGCTGGGACTCACGACCAATGCTGAGATCAGAATGAGATACTCTGCTAGAAAAACAGGCAGGTACTAAAAGTCAGTTTTTTTTTTTTTAAAAAGNTTACATGAGCAACATTGTGGTTACTAGACTACCCCCATCACCAAGTCCCCACCACATGCCCCATTACAGTCACTGTTCATCAGCATAGTAAGATGCTGTAGAGACACTACTTATCTTCTCTGTGCTATACTGCCTTCCCCATGCCCCCCCCACTACATTATGTGTGCTAATCATAATGCCCCTTATTCCCCTTCTCCCTCCATTCCCACCACCCCTCCCCCCAATCCCCAGTCCCTTTCCCTTTGGTAACTGTTAGTCCATTCTTGGGTTCTGTGAGTCTGCTGCTGTTTTGTTCCTTCAGTTTTTGCTTTGTTCTCATGCTCCACAGATGAGTGAAATCATTTGATACTTGTCTTTCTCTGCCTGGCTTACTTCACTGAGCATAATACCCTCTAACTCCATCCATGTTGTTGCAAATGGTAGGGTTTGTTTTCTTCTTATGGATGAATAATACTCCACTGTGTATATGTACCACATCTTCTTTATCCACTCATCTACTGATGGGCACTTAGGTTGCTTCCATTTCTTGGCTATTGTAAACAGTGCTGCGATAAACACAGGGGTGCACATGTCTTTTTGAGACTGGGCTCCTGCATTCTTAGGGTAAATTCCTAGGAGTGGAATTCCCAGGTCAAATGGTATTTCTATTTTTAGTTTTTTGAGGAACCTCCATATTGCTTTCCACAGTGGTTGAACTAATTTACATTCCCAGCAGTAGTGTAGGAGGTTCCCCTTTCTCCACAACCTCGCCAACATTTGTTGTTGTTTGTTTTTTGGATGGTGGCTACCCTTACTGGTGTGAGGTGATATCTCATTGTGGTTTTAATTTGCATTTCTCTGGTAATTAGCAATGTGGAGCATCTTTTCATGTGCCTGTTGGCCATCTGAATTTCTTCTTTGGAGAACTGTCTGTTCAGATCCTCCACCCATTTTTTAATAGAGTATTTGCTTTTTGGGTGTTGAGGCATATGAATTCTTTATATATTTTGGATGTTAACCCCTTGAAACAGATTTTTTCGAAAGTACTGAAAAAGACTGAAAGTAAGGCAGTATTTAAAGTATCTATGAAGCCTCTTTATAAATATATCTTCCAAACTTGTCATTAGCTTATTTATCATTTCATTTTTTTAATGGTTGGAATATCTTTTATTAAGATATAATTTACATATAGAAAAATTCACTCTTAGTGTTATATAGTTCTGTAAGATTTGACAATGCAAATAGTTATATAACTACTGCTACAATCAAGACATGGAACAGTTCCATCAGCCCAAAATTTCCCTGTACCCCTTTATAGTCAATCACTTCGCTGACCCCAAGCCCCTAACAAGCAGTGATCTGTCTTTTGCCCCTGGAGTTTTGCTTCTTCCAGTATGCTATACAAATGGAAATCACACAGTATGTGACATTTTTTACTTGGCAGAAGGCACTTGAGATTCATCTGCACTGTTGGGTGTATCAATGGTTCATTCCTTTTAATTGACGAGTAGTGTTCTGTTTTACCACTGAACCACAGAAAAGGACATTCGGACTGTTTGCAGTTTTTGATTAAAAATAAAGCCACTGTAAGCATTCACGTGTTTGAATCAGGATTAATCAGAGAAATTCAGTTTCCAGATTCTCGGATTAGTGCCAACAATTTCACAGGTCCTCTTCCCACAGAAGTAATCATCCCAGCCCTTGACCTCAACCTTTCTTGAATACGGAACCCTCCAGGTCTCCAAGAAAGATTTCTTTCACTTCTTGCACAAAACTTCTTAAATCCACATTAGATAAAGTCCCTATATCTTTTGTTTTCCCAGTACTTAAGTCTCTTAAGTCTCTACATTTTAATTAATAAGGAAATATGAGCAAGTCTGTAATATTTACTCATTGTCTTTGCTACATTTTTAAAAGAAACTCCTTTACTTGTTGAGGATGCCCACAGCTTGAGCTTGTCTTTTCCCCTTTTTACACTTGACATTTAAATGGGTGGCCCCAGAAACATACATTAGTTCTTACTTTGGTTTGGTGTATTTTAAATTTCCAGTTAGATTGAACATTTTCCTGTTTTTTCTGAAAATCAAAAAAAGACAGCAGAGAAAATGTCTACAAAGAGTGCTCATGGATAAATTGAGAGATTTTGAAGTTACAGGATATATCTATTCTTTTCAGAGGTGACTCCAGCTTTAAGGAAAGGCAGCAATCCAATTAATAAACCATGTATATCAGGCTCTGGATAGTCACCTCACAATCATCACTTTTTTTCAGAAAGCATGCCCCACGGGTTTCCATTTGGAAAGCAGACCCTCTAGTTGTTCCAGTGCATTTGAAATGTCCCCCTTTCAACAGCATATCCATTGCATCAGACAAGATAAGGCAAGGTTTATTTTTGATGCTGGTTTTATTTTATCAGACGGTAATGACTACCCATCCTTCTGTGTATTTGGAATGGGGCTCTCAGGAGACAGTGGAAAATACTGAGGACTGTTAATTTTTTCATGAGATCATTTTTTTCCCTTGACATGCAATTTGATGCTTAACAATTTTTCTGAAAGTCAAAAGGAGTACTACATTCCCTAATTTTCTCAGGGCTATAAATAGCCCCTCACAAAGCATAATGTATAAAAGAGATGACACTTCTTTATGAAAGAATTTCCACTGAAAAGATAAAAGGAGGTCAGAACTCTTATGTGAGACATGTATTTTCAAGTATTCATAAAAATAGAAATCAGCAGCAGTGGGAAAATTCTTCATGATAGACAGTCACACATAAGATATTGGAGCCAAAGCCATTTTCACAGGCGCCAACTGTAGTTTGAATGGAACCCAGCCAAGAAGCGCTGCTGGGCATTTAGCTCGAGTGCCAAAAAAAAGGGAAGAGTATGTACACACACACACACACACACACACACACACACACACACACACACACACATCCAGCTTGTAGAGGTATTTGCCAGAAACATTTTTCGGGTTTCTGCCATCTGGGTCCTGCAGCCATCAATCAGGTCCTGTGGTGACTCCAGCTGCTGAGTTCTGCTTCTAGAGGTGGAATAATGTGGGAAAAATGAAAGAGGAAAAATTAGGAGAGCACCGACAGCAGCTGGAAGGATCAGCTGGACTGCATTTAGCTAACATCCAAACTCCAATTCGCTTGTAATGACACTGATGCTCTGAAAACTTGAAGATCTCTGCTTGGCTTGAAACTGATCAGACACATTTTTACTGTTTTTACTATTTAGAGATCATCAGAGATACATAGGGCAATATACAAAACACTGAAAAAAGACCAGGATCCTGGCCCACTGGGCTTGTAAATATATATATGTAGACAACATAGCATTATTTTAACACACACACACACACACACACACACACACACACACACACACACACACATCCAGCGTGTAGAGGTATTTGCCAGAAACATTTTTCGGGTTTCTGCCATCTGGGTCCTGCAGCCATCAATCAGGTCCTGTGGTGACTCCAGCTGCTGAGTTCTGCTTCTAGAGGTGGAATAATGTGGGAAAAATGAAAGAGGAAAAATTAGGAGAGCACCGACAGCAGCTGGAAGGATCAGCTGGACTGCATTTAGCTAACATCCAAACTCCAATTCGCTTGTAATGACACTGATGCTCTGAAAACTTGAAGATCTCTGCTTGGCTTGAAACTGATCAGACACATTTTTACTGTTTTTACTATTTAGAGATCATCAGAGATACATAGGGCAATATACAAAACACTGAAAAAAGACCAGGATCCTGGCCCACTGGGCTTGTAAATATATATATGTAGACAACATAGCATTATTTTAAAAATCATTTCTCATCATGATATTGAGCCATTATGTATCAAGTCCTTATCATGTGCCAAACACCAAATAAGATCTTTACATAAACTCTATTTTAAACCTTTTGACATCCCATGAGAAAGCTATTCTCAGCAGCCTCTGTGTAACAGTGAGTGAACTGGCCTTACAGGGGTTAAGTGACTTGCTCAATACCCTACAACGTGTCTGAGATAGAGGTGAGATTCAAATCCATGTTGCAGGATATTTTAGAATCTACACTCTTAACCTCTGCTATACTGCCTTCCAATGCAATCATGTGACGCCAGTCCTCCACAGCCTGGAAAAGTTCCTGTAACTTGCCAGCATACTGAATTTACAATAAGAGGCTAATAGAACAGCAGAGCACAGACAGCCATTCTTCTGGTGTTTCCCATGCAAATAAGTCTCTTCCACCCAGTTCTGCATGAGACTGCTCTATTATACAGCCTTCTAGAGGGTGCACAGAAGTCAGATGCCTCCTCTGGATAATGACAATGACATTGCCCTGGCATCCCATATCCACAGGGCCATGCGTTGGGCCCCTGGGCAGCTCAGTTATCATGGAGATAGCGAATGTGGCTGCTCACTTCTTCCATCCTTATGAGGATGAGTGTTAGGGCTGGAATAAAGCTGAACGTTAACATTACTTCCTGCCAGCAAATGTTGATTTAGCTTTGCTCCATGGGTCTGTGCCCTCTTGGTTGATCACTTCTTGCCATACTCACAGTCACTACACCGAACAAAATGGGGTGTGGAGGGGAAGAAGGAAAAACCATGCAGGGTCAGATTCTTGTTCACCTCGTCACTTGCTTCATTTCTTCTGCACTTAGAACTCTTTTGTCATCAGGCAGAAAGTGAACAGGGTGGGGGGTGGGTAACCGGGCCTGAAGTAATTTACAACCATAGGCAACCAGGTTATTTTATACCAAAATGATACTTTCTCAAAATCTCATCACTCATATCAAAAGTTTTTTTTTTTAGTTTCATTGAAAAATAATTGACATATATCACTGTATATGTTTAAGGCATATGCATGATGGTTTGATTTACACATATTGTGAAATGATTACAATAGGTTCAGCTAATATCCATCTTCTCATACAGAGACAATAAAAAGGAAAGAAAGAAGAAAAGAATAAAGGAAAAATAATTTTCTCCTTGTGATGAGAACTCTCAGACGCACTCTCTTACCAACCGGCCTGTGTATCACACAGCAGGGTTAACTGTCGTTGTCGTGTTGGCCATTACATCCCTGGTACTTATTTATAACTGGAATTTGTACCTTTTGACCACCTCAGAAGCATACCTTAGGGAGTGATATTCTTATGCTTATGAAAACATTGTGTGCAGTTGAACTTGCTTAATCTATGATCATTTGCCTCTTTGAAGATTTGAGGCAAGGGTATTAATGCCATTATAGTGTTAAAACGCATCAGTGATTTGATCACTTGAAATGCTTTAATAAAAATGAATTCTGTTAGCTGATTCTGATTATCCAGCATCAGACTTATAGGCTTTTAAGACATTTTCCAGTTGTCAGATATTTTTCTGTGAGACATTTAAATATTTAGATTCCATTCTTTCTGGGTATTCCAAATACAGGAAATAGATATCTTAATAGCAGAAATATTAACAGGATTACTCTGTGGACCATCTTCCCTAATGGCATTTGAAAATCAAATCATGTTCCTTGATTATGTATCAAACCTTTTTGCTTGAAAAGAAATAGCAGGTAGAAACCCGGGATTCAGTTGTGTCAGGGTTAGGTGTTTGTTAAAGAATACATTATTATGGCCAATTACAGAGTAGAATGTGCCTCACAGGAGTCACTCAACGATTTCTTCAAGAGTAGTAACTATCAATAAAGGATACCTTGTGTGACATTAAAATCTGTATTAAATATGCATTCATCAGGTAGTCATTCATATGTTCAGCAAAACTCCTCATTTTCATACATGTACATGCATGCCACACACACACACACACACACACAGATTTACCCAGTAAAGTATTAGGAATCCCTCAGATGGAAGAAAAATAATTCTGATATATTAAGAAATTGATGCTTTCCATTACAGGTATCTCTTTTTCACCCTGGGGTTTTCCTCCCATTTGAGCTAGACTAGGTAGATCCCATTTCCGCAGAGGAGGGGTCTTACCGCAGTAAAGTAGATTAAAGGCATTTGATGCTCCAAAAAGAAGTCTCAGGCCATGGTTTGGAGTAAACCTTACCCCAGCTCCAGCAGAGAGAACATTCTCCTCCCCCAAACCTCCCTACTTGGGGCTCTCCTTGGACAAGGGAGGCCTTGGGACCAAGGCAGGCAGGCAGGGCCTTGTGCTCGCAGTGCAATGCTGGGCTATTGCTACTGTTGCCTTTAAATTCCTTCTAACTTTGATGTGTTTTGCCAGTGAAGGCTGACAGGATAATGGAGTATGTGCTGTGGACTTGCAGGTGTGACTTGTGCGTTGCCCCCCTTCCTTCTGCCTCTCACCTGCTGGAATGGGTTCCTGGACGCCCATTCCTTCACTCCATGGTGCCCTGGGCTTCCCCTTCTCTACCTTCTCATCTCCCAACAACTTTCACTGTCCTCTACTCACAGCAGGGGGTCTGGGAGTGGGTGAGGGTGTGGGGAGAGTCAGGGCCAGTTTCTGTGTGCCTGAAGGAGCCTCCAGGGTGGGGCGTGGTGGTGGCTCTCCTGATCCCATGCTGGCAGCACTGTGTGCACTTGACCGGCACTCTAAGCTGGCAAGCCTCTTACCCACGCTCCATGAAGGCATGGAACCCATATCAGCATGGAGTGGCAACCCCTGGGGCAGTGCATCCACTGTGGGTTGGAGCAGCAGGAACTCTCTCCTTTGGAAGGAGGGACTGAATCCCCCATCTCTGGCTAGACATGGCCTGTTGCATGTGGAGGAGGAGGGGTGCATGTGCACATGTGTGCCCCAAGTCTGAGTGAGGCTAAGCTGTGTTCCCTGGAGGTTTAGCTACGGAAAGATGTTTCCAAGATCCTTTTAGTGATTAGTCAAATTCATCATGTGATTAAAAGGTTGAGATCCGTGTATTTTCGCTAGCTGGCTGTCAGCTGGGGGCTGCTCAGCAACTACAGGCGGCTTCAGTTTCTGCCAACGGTCTCCATAGGCAGCTCTCAACACGGCTCTCTGCTAGGTCAAGGCCACAAGAAGAATCTCCCTCCTCCATCCCATCACCTTTGACATGTCCAATTGGCTAGAAGCAAGTGACAGCTCAGCACCCACGGTCAACGGGAGAGGGTCAGGATTATAGCAGCGGGACATGAGGAAGCAGAGATCACCAGTCTCCCTGAATACTGCTGACCGCGTCCAGCATATGGCTCCTTCCTTCAGCAAGCTTACATTTTAGCTGGGGAGACAAGACTAACACTTCTGAATCATTAGGGCAATGAAATACCTTCATGACTTCTAGGAAGAAATCTCCTATCACCACCACCTCACCCCACCTTTCTTTTAATGATTCTGATAAGAATTAACCAAGGAGTAATTTTAAGCACTGGACCAATTTGTAGTTCAAAGGTAAGTAAATAAATAATTTAATCATTTGTGTTACAGGTGGCTTTTGATAAATTACCTCCTCTGGTGCAGAATATTATTCTATTTTTATAACTGAAAAGGGGAAAGGCTTCCTTCTTCCCTTTCCTTATGCCCAGGCCCATGGAGCCCTCCAAGGGAAGCTGAGTAGTGTGAGCCTCCTCTGCATCTAGTCTGCAGCTGCTCTTCCCCAAAACCCTTATGCAGAGTGCAGGTAGGAGGCAGAGACTGGGAGCCAGCTATCGTAGAGATTTCATCCAGCACTTGGTAGAGGCAGGTTTGGGACAAGATCAGACTTCCACTGCCAGGCTAGGAAGATCGCAGCATTCTGGAGATGTCATGCTAAGTGCCCCTAGTGTGAAGGAAATTCCTGAGGTGGTAAAGATTCTGGAGAGCAGGGAATGGCCTGCAATGTGGAAGAGAGGGAGTGGGGACACACAAGGAAGGAGAAGTTCACATTAAGAGTCTCAGACTTTGCATCACAATCTAACCTGGACCCCTGTAAAGACTAGAATGATTCCCAGTAGCCTCTGAGGTGGGGTGGCTCACCCACCCTAAACAGAGAAGACGCTTACAAAGGCAAATCCTGTGGTATATAAGCTACTCAATCAAATTATTGCACTATAATAAGAAAATTAAGTAGAGAATGTCTGATGATTAATAGAACAGAGGGTTTTGAAAACCCTTAAGGTGAGGAAATGATAAACTCTTAAGCAAAAATTGGAACTACACTTAGTTTTTCCAGAACACCTTCTATTTCTATTGACATCTTAGTTAAGTGACCTCCAAAATTCACTCCATGGTCGGTAACTTGTAGACAGGATCCTGGAATGTTTTATAGAAAATAATTTAAAAATGTATGATATAGCTATAATTTGTATCTTGCCACAAGGAAGATGCTAGGCAGACTCTGGGATAATACCAAGTGGAAAATGATGCTATGTATTAGGTAGGCCATGTTAGAGCATTAAATGTTTTAGGCGGATATCTCCATCTCATTTTACCCATAGAAAAACCAGCACAATGACATTAAATTATACCAACATCCTCTGGAATTCTTAATCTTGTTCTATGCATATTTGGGGTCAAATTTTCATTCTGTAACCTCTGGTA